TCTCTCATCTCTATATTATACTACATCTTTCTTTAGATCTTACAACTGAGTGATTCCTTTCTGTACATATAACTACATTTATAAAGTTTAATGTATTAGTTAATAACTTAATGTATTTGTTAATAATATATGTAGCAATAGTATCATACTAAGCTACACAAACATACACGCATATATTACAGCATCTCTTCAAAGCACTTATTTCTTATTTCAACCTATTTTTTTCAAATAATAATCACTTTTTTCACTTTCACTAATAATCTCTTACCCCATAGCTCCCAAACGAATTAAAAGAGATATCCAAAATGTTCAGTTTTCCACAGATGGCAAAGGCAGACAAATTAATACTTTTAACTTTTACAATTAAGATTTTCAAACATGCAAACAAACACGTTCCTTTGTTCCCTATTCAGAGATGTACATTACTAGTACAGAAATCAGAGTAGTTTGACCAACTGCAGTTTGATCATACTTCATGAAAGACTACATGTGTCTTTCTTCTTGTAATATTTTCTGACAAGTGAAGGCCATCCCAAGGAATAGATGCTTCCCTTCATATTGAGACTCATGGCTATGGATGAACATTCAGGTTGGCTTCATTGAGTCAACGTATATTAAATAACACATTTCCAGTGATCTTTCATATCCTGCAAAAACTTAGTAGTGTAACGTGTTGCAAACAGTGGGAAATTAAAGAAGATGAAGAAAAGTGAAAATAAGCACTGCCTCTAATCTTAATGGCATTGTTCTCAGTGTCTGTGTGTACAGGCTGAGAGCTCACCAACAGCAGGCCTGGTTAGGCTTAAGGGGGAGGTTTATACATATCAAATAGTCTCAGCATGTACCACATGCAAAGTTGAAGGGTCCCAAGGCTGCATTTTATTGTGCAGAATCCTTCAGGATCCATTTTTGTGATAATGTATTGGGATCAGTCACACCACCACCCTGGATGAGCAATTGGCTATATTTATTCAGGCTGCCTTATCTGAATAACACACCATGATTTGGCAAAGCTGCAAGCACAAGAAGCCAAAGTACAATTTAATAATTCTCAGCACACTGAACGCTGTACTATTAAAATGGACATATAATATTAGAAGATTTGTCTTTTAAAGTAATACACAAGTCAACAGTCACCATAGCAGCTTTGCAGCACCAAAACTTCCATGTTACACCAGAAGGACTCCCTAATTTTTTTTTAATGCTCTAAATCTACAGTCAGAACACTGGTCTGTTTTACAGAACAACTAGTTCAGAATTTGTCATCTGATTCCAAAACTACAATAGAACTCTGATTTGGTGATTGCAAAACCTCAGCTCACATAACAGTCTATTTACAATGTTCTGACAGAATTTGACAAAGTCAATAAAAATTTCCTTCGTCATGTCATGATCCCTTTCTAGAAATACAAAAACATGCTTCCAACTGATTAAACCACGAAAAAAAAATCCAAAGGCATCTTCTATCAGCGATATGCTTGCACTTTCTATTTGTTGAGATCAAACAAAAGAAAATGGTCTCTGGGGTCTTTCCAGACCATTCTGGATTCAGCAGTTCAAGTTTCAGTGGTGTTCTTAGCCAGGATTCCTGCATCAAGCAATAATACTGATGCAAACTTCTCAGCACAAGGGCAGGACTCCCTTGTTTACCCAGTACACTCCTAATCTGACCATGGGTAAATTTTCTCTTTTTCAGAAGACAGCTCGCAGTAATGAATACAATTAATTGTACAACACATTTTACTTTAACACCAACTGGACAATATCACCTCATGTGAATAGTCCAGCCACTCCAAGTACAGATTCCAATTATTACATGAGAACTAAGACTTTATGACACTTCCTACAAATGCTAATTAGCTGGTAGGTTAGGGCCCTCAGTCATGTAGCACTTCATCAATCACAAAGCCTAAACTATTAAAGATGGAAACTGTAACATTTTACATAAAAAGTTATGTTGCAAGTCAAAGTAGAATATTATATTAGCCCCCTTTAGCTGGTGTTCTTTTATGACAGTCCTCACAAAAGAATTTCCACAAGCTGTTGTCCTAATATGATCCAGGTCTACATCCTCTGCACTGTTCTTGTCTCAGCAGCTACTGTTTTCAACACCGAGACTCACACTTCAGAGCATATAACTGGTGGTTTTGCATACCTATAGATTCCTGAAGGACAAAATATACCAGTTATAGCAACTACACAAAAGAGAGAATTTGTGAACAAAAAGGGACACGAAAGAATCATCACCACGTTCAGCACTTTTGCCCTTCAGCCTTCAACTCGACCATATTCATAGAACTTACACATTCCGCTACGAAATACATAAAGATTTCTGAGGTCTGCCCCTCTGCATGCTAAACTGACAGATATGAGGTGTAAGACTAGCCTTGCCAGGTTAAACAAGGCTATTAAAACAGCATACCCAACTTTACTGGCACTAAAATGGAAAAGTGGTGCCAAAGATTCTAAAAGAAAAGAAATATTAAGTAATATTGCACCTCTGACATTGACATAAGTTTATTATTACTCCATGCCAATCTACCTTGATCCAAATCCTCTAAACACATGCTGTTCCAGAGCTGGGCCTCCCTTAAGCCTGCAAATTATATTAAATAGTGTAGCAGTTTTTCAATTTGGTCAAAAATTACACCAAAACCACTGCATGGGAGGACAATGCCCTTTATCTAACTTTTTTCTGCAACGTGCTGCCCTGTGTGTGTTCCTGGCCATCCTGTGGGACTCACCACTGCTGTTTTGGTTTTGTTTCTTCCACACCTTTGGTAGAGAGCCATCAAGAGAACCTGTCCTGCCCTCCAAGTGTAACAGCTATCCAGAAAGGAGAAGGAACAGCTCCAGTTTCGAAAGGGAGCTTTTCAGAGTTTGGTTTGGTTTCCTTTGTATTTTTTTTCACACAGTAGATAACAGTTAGGTACCTAAGAGAAAGACTAGAAATTGCATATTTCCAACCAACATATTCCTTCCTCCTCAGTTTCAGGTTATTACTGACAGAAATATTACCAAGCACTATATATACAAATTCTTCCTTCTTCAATTACTTCAATACAACCATTAAAACAAATATTATTTTAGGCTGAGTGAAGTACTTCGGGCTGAGTGGAGAGAGATGTAGCCATCTATCTTGCACCAATAACTAAAGGCACTAACATAACTGGTTATTCATAAATCCTCATATCAAAAGTAAATAAAAATACAAGGATGTATAATTTAGCCCTACATAGAAAGAAGAAAACTGAGACAAGCACGATATTATTACAGACAGAAGACTCTAAGATCTAGATAAAACTCACAAAGAACTGGAAGCACTTGCTACTTCCAGTTTTAAAGAATCAGTTTACTACTAACTCCGATTTTGCACCTAGTTGTTAGCAGGATTTATTTATCTCATTGTACACTAGAGTTAATCAGGCTATAACATGTTTTACTCTATGATCTAGTGAGGAGAGAGGGTGCAGCTTGAGAGTGATTATTTCCATTAAGAGGCAGGTGCAAAAGTGGCAAGATCATAAATAAAATAGCCATAATGTATTAAAACCAGAACAAAATATGTTACGCTGCATATTTCTGAGCACACAGACATGACTGACAGTGCTGATAGCTCTGTGATTGGTTATTCATCACAAAATTTTTATCACTGATTCCCTATTGATCCTCACATTCCCCATACTGATCCATTTCTTCAAGATATAAGTACAAGAGAAACTGTAAATTGTTGGGTTGTTCGGGGCTTGGGGTTTTTTTTTAGAATACGAACAAAGAGAAAAGACACATTCTGTTTTTCAAAATGCTCAAGCAATGTCCAAAACTAGTCAGCATTCAGCACAGGATAAAAGCCCTGAAGTTTTCTATCTTTTACATCATAAACATTGCTAAAAAGGCAAATATTCAGAAATAGGATTAAAGTGGATGGGTACTTATATCCCAGTTTTGATAGGCTTTATTTCCCAGGTCTGAAAAAGCAGTCTTCTCAGTTTCTGGAAAATAAGGCCTTGGCTTTTTTTAGTTCTGTACTTAAGCAATTGCAGACAGAAGCACAGCTAGACCATGTGAACCCTACATGAATCCTGGAGGAAAACCACAGTAACATGAACTACCTACATAATAATAGAGTAAGGAGGAGCAGACATTCTTTGAGTGGCTGTAAAAGGAGGGCAGAAGTAATAGTAAAATATATTTGATGCCAGGAACTTTTTCTCCACTTATCTGTATGTTCACAAGGGCATCTACACATGGTAAAGAGTGACGCACAGGACACACAGAACATACCTGGTAGCATAAATGTTTTTGTGAGTGTGAGAAAAAGGATAGGGAAATAAATGCCCTACTACTGCATTCAGAACCCTTGCAGAGCTGCCTTCACAGGAAATTCCCTCTCCGCTCCCCCAGGTGGAAACTATAATGACTGAACCCAACTTCCCAAAGAGAGCAAATGCAGTTAGTTAAATTTGTGGAAAATTAGAAATACGACTACTTGACTCTTTGGAGGGAGCCACCCTTCTTAATGTCTTTAGCTCACAGGAAAAACAGAAAACTGACTTAATTTAGGTTCCTTCCCCACTCTCCTCCTCTTTCCAACACCCCCCACCTCCCATTAAAAAAAAAAAAAAAAAAGTCATTAGGCTAAAAACAGAGTATCCAGATCTTTTAGCAGGCCCACAATCAGTGTTCATAAGGATAACTGAATCCCTCATGTTGAGGAACAAGAAGTTTTATCAGGATTTTTAGGACTTTCATTTAACTCCAACAATTTTGTGACAACTTCAGCACCTAATATTTTTGTGATATAATATAAATAAGATATAATACTATAAAAATGTTTCCATGGATAACAGTAACACATTTTATACTAGAGAACTACTTGACTACTACAGATTTCCTGCATTTTTTAACATATTAAAAGTAATACCTTATAAGAAATAAATGTATTCCCTTTAAATGTGTCTCAAAAGTTTTACAACGTATCCTTTCATCAGTGATCTTACCTTTTTTTGAAGGACATTAATTTTTCTTTCTTTTACTTCCAACATGTCTTTCATATCTCGAATTTCTCCAGCAAGGGTTCCTTTCTCTTCTGTGAGGTCTTGAAGTTGTTTTGTTTTTTTATTCAGAAAGGTTTCTTTTTCTTCCAGTCGTAACCGCAAGGCATCAACCTACAGTAAGTAAATCAAACATATTTAAGTTTTAGTTTTAGTTCTAATTCTCTTTTTTCCTTCACTTAAGAAGTGCATTATTTTTTTTCTACGTCGATTTTCCAAATTCATCTCAGACTAAGAGACTCTTTTACTTGTTACACTTTTCTCCAGTGTGAATTGCACAAGTCTCTTAACAAACAGATCTGACTGTACTTCTCTGTAGTAAGCACAAATCCCTGTCAAACAAAATAAGGGGTATTCCAGCAATTTTCCTAAGCAAAATGTTCTATATACATAACTGGAGGGTTTTTTTCTTTAGAAACACTAAAAAGAAAAAAAAATCCAAAGAATTCTAACAAGCCCAGAGAGTGTAAGCACTCTTGATATTCTCATTTCTTGCTGTGTAAATGCTCAAGCACGCAATTTTATTGTTCTCTTAATGTAATTCTAACAGTAATAAAATAGCAGACAATTCATTAAAGAAACAGAATATGTTTGGATTTAACCATCAGTACTGCAGGAATCACACCTTACATGTATTGGTCCCTTCAGGAATTCCACTAAATCATACCTGCTTCCACATTCTGGTTCAGAAAAGCAGTTACAAATGAATTGCTGAGAGGCTCTCAGTATAAAATAATGGGGGGGATTTTGGGAGCAAAGAACAGGTTTTATGTAAAGTTTCTCAAAACCAAAGGACACTTTTTCTTTTCTATGTGAGCATCATATTATTCAAAGCTCATTCGTAAATAAAATAACACAAGAAACCATTGTATACCCAGGAAACTGGATCAGCACTATTAAACATCTTGCAAAGTAGAGAACTAAGATAAATCATTTATTATTACAAAGACAGGTTTCCTTGAACAGAGGCTTCTTCTGCAGCTCTGAACCATGAGGTGTTCACATTAAGTGGACTCACAGGCTTGTTTTAGCTCCAAGGTACACCACTGGGAAGACAAGGTTTGGGTTGAAAATATACGATGTGGCAACCTAGAATAATTCTCCATATACAAGAGAGCTGCAGGAAGTCAGGCAAGTGAGAAATTTTAGATTCAATAATCCAAATTTTAAACACACAAATGGTAGAAAATAAAGAATAAGAGCTTAAAGTTTTCATTACCTAGAAATTCATAAGGTTAATTCATAATAAAAAGCTAGATAGTAGTAACTGAAAGGGCATAAATGTTGGCTTCACATTTTTAAGTGAAGGGTCTTATTTATTTCAAGGGTCTTATCTAGTAAGCTATTTTCCCCCTAGTTAATCAGAATATTAGCAAAGTACAAAACGATCAGTAGATCTATATTTATTTACAGTCTGAGTTTTGTAATGCTAAATTTATTCAAAGCAAAAGTCTTTGCAATGCCATTTTAAAGCTTGGTTTGGGACTAATTTAGATGATCTATTGGATCTCAAAATGCATGTTTTTCCTGCTCTTAAAATGGCTCATTGCCTTTCTATACACTGGAAAAAAGATTTATACTCTACTGGATTTATTTTATTTTTAAGACTATTTTTTACAATATTACAGTAACAGGATCTCTCAGTTTGTAAGCAGTGTGCAGTATGGGATCCAAAGATGACTTTTTGAATTGGAAACCAAGAAATAGTAGTAGCAGCAAACTTTCAGACCTCTTTTAATAAACATTAAAGACCTCATCTGAAACTCATTACCACGTCTTCTTTATATTTAATCACTTATTTGCTTCGTGTCTGAAAGCAATCCCTTAAGTCAAATCACAAAAATCTCTGTTGGGCCTTTAAGCTGCAGCTGAGGAGCTCGTCATAACATTGCAGCGGGAGCTCCGAGAGCTGTTCTCTTCAGTCAGGCTCTGCAAGTCTCATTTTCCAACTGCCACGAGGCAGAAGCTTTAATGCTTCAAGTCAAGGGGAGTTGAAGGTGATTAGATGGATAAACAAAGCACTGATACCGTTCCCCAGTGACTGGGATAACACATGTGCTGATACAGCTCTGCTGGGCTCGGCTGAGCCGGGCGGCTGCTGAGTCAATAATCTTCTCTTCCCTACCCATCCAGTCCCCAAAGGGCTGAGCAGACAATTCTCACTCTTCTTCACAAACTTCTTTACACACACCCTGCCATCATTACATCACTACATTCAACTTGGAAATGGGGATTTTAGGCATTCAAACAGGGGAGCACAAGAAGGAGGATTGAGAGGATGAGTAAATGGCTCTGAATTGCCACTCTGAGTGACAACCTGTGTGGGAAACAGGAGCAGAGCCCTGTCCATTCCAGTTTCTCAGGCCCCAATCTTGCCTTCACACAATAGTTAAACAGCACCACGTAACTAAACCTTTCTGCTTTTTCTCTCACCACCAGCCAGCTCATAGCACGACCAATACATTATTTCTATTCCTTACACAAAGACACAAATTCACCCTGGAGGGACAAGAGAAGTGTATGGTGGTTTTCTTTCACACCGAAAAGAAACACATGTGGAACTGTAGCAGAGCCCATTATTCCTTTCCCTGGTTAGCATTCAGGTCATCCACATGAAAACTTTTAAGTTAGTTCAAGGGTTGCAACCTTGACTGTGCCACAGAGCACCAGGTACCCAGTATTTCAGAATTGTCTGGACTGACTCTAAATGCAGAAACAGACTGTTTTCTTGTTAATGTTATAAATAGATTACTCCACACACCTTCATGTAAATAGTTCACACTTTAGTTCAGTTTTTTTCAGCTCCGTGGTAACTTTCCAACAGTTAACTAATATGTTTGAGGTGAATTGCATTCTTCCAGAAGTTGCATATGGACTTAAGGTCTGAACATATTCAGATATAAGTGGTATAACTTCTGCCTAGAACTCCAGTCCCTACCAGAGACTGCTCTTAATATAAGACTACCTTGGTTTTCATTTAAGAATTCAATTCTAGCCTTGGTAGCTTCAAATAAAAACTTTAAAGCACAACTGAAGTGCAGCTTCAATTGCACTGAGAATCTCAGCCAGAGAATCTCAATCCCATCAACCCCAGTTCACACAAGGACAGTACAACCATTGGGACAGAAGGAGTTCAGCATGTCCAGCACAGCCTTCAGTGGCAGAAAAGCATCTGCCAAATACATACCTATTTTCTTATATCTCCTCACCTTGAGACTGTTACAGCAGAGCACTTTAATTCATAAATCCACCTACATAATGAAGTTCACGTATTTTGATAGAATAGGTACATCATCCCCCAAACTACCATTGACAGCAAGGAGCCATTTTGAAAGCAGTGCTCTACGTGAGTTTTCAGAGGCAGAACTCTGAGCCAGTGCCAGTCTGGGAGAGTGAATAGGGAACCTGTACTGTGTGTGGTCTTGGGTGTACAGATTTATTTTCTGTCCATGGGAATGCAATGTGGAGGTTTAAGAGAGCGTCAGTTATGTCAGTCATTTTCTCCTTCCCTGAATTCTTCTTTCTGTCTCTAGTAATCATAAAACAAGACTTTTGCATTCCCCATAATATGAAATAAAACTACCTCAGCCTGAACTGCAGGCGACCTTATCCTATCTGCTCTGCACTAAGCATGTATGACATCATTTCATAAGTCAAATATGAACCTCCAGATGTTTAAAACCAAAAAGCTGTTAAATCAGTTCCTCATCTCGTGGACAAAAAGAAGCAAAATATACTACTTCATTTGTAGCCAGGATGAATTTGCCAAAATTAGAAATTATCTCTTCCCTGAAAATGGTTCTGTGTAATCATATCTCTGAAATAATGAAACAATGAGGTAGTCAGATGGAGCATGCCAGTACACTATGAGAAATTTCTGCAATTCTCCTTTTACACTTAAGGCATTTTAAATATGATCTGAAAGGGAATTAATATGGGTCATTTTACAGCATCAGATATATATTTTTTATATTTGAAAGGATAAGGATTTCTGGTACACAAAACCCCTCTCTTTGGCTTTTCACTCAACACTATGTAATTTTAAGAGTCCTTGACTTATTTTTCTCAAGCTTTGGCAGTATATTTACTAGTAAAACTTGGCAGTCTGAAGAACATCATCATTTTCCAGAAAAATAAAGCAAAAACAGATCTGATAGCTAACACATAGAATGTTTCAAAGACCTCTTCCCAAGTAAATTGCTTTTTAATTTTGTCTAACTTCTTTTTCCTCAGCAACTACTTATTTCAACTATTTAACACAATAAACTCTGTCACCTGCTCTGGAAATATACAACAGACTGCAAAAACTTAAAAATGGGTTATACTTTAGGAAAAAAAAGTTCATGTAAGTGGCAAAAATTGCCAAATTCGAAGTCAAACTTTATTAATCTTCACGTCATCACCCGCCACTCACTACCAGCTCCAGTAGTGACTATTTCTTGAAGTTCCTTTCTGTTAACTGTTTAACTCATATGCCATATTATATATATCACTCATAAAAGTGGGTTTAATGCTATGGAGTTCCATGAGGAAGTAAAACATGAAGAAGCACTACTGTGTTTCACTGTTAAGAATTACTTATTTTACCATCATAAATACATCCATTTAAAGCAAATATTTTACTGTATTTCTTTAAAACTGACTCTGAACTTACTAGTGAAGTACTAAGTGCACTGTAGTACCACACCTGGAGTGATGAGAAGGCAAAACTGTAACCCACTGTCAGCCTCCCTCCTGACCCCACCTCTGTTCCAGCACACGCTGCAGCCAAACTCTGCCACTGTATCAAGATTCCATCTTCTCCCCTTTTGTATCATCATTCCCCCCTTTCCTGGTAACCACGACAGGCTCCACAGGGCTGCTGACACTTTCTGTGCTGCTACTTGCTCTCTTAGTGTATTATGCAGCCACCTTTGCAGGAAAAGCTTCTGTTAATAAAAATAACAGATTTCTATTAAAGATCTGTATTTATACATGCCCATGTATCTGGGGAAATGTAATATTTCAAGTTATTATTATGAAAACCAATTTAAACCAAAAATAAAAGACCCGTCACTCTAATTTTCCACACAGGAGTACTTAGTTGTTACTGCAGAGAGCATGGGCCCTTTTGC